CTTGCATTCAGCATAAGAGTCAGATGTGCCAGTTCTGTGTAGCTTAGCACGTAGGGTGCTGCACGTCTCTGGGGGGTAAGCGTGAAAATACAGGGGTCTTCTGAAGGCAAAAACCTCCTTTCCTGCCATTCATTACCAGGATAAAGAACAGACACATGTGGTGTGAGCAGACAAAGGAGCAGATCCTGGCCATGCTGCTAACATGCTTTACACGGTGCAGTACCCTGTGTGCGTCTATTGCAATATTCTGCAGGATATCGTTGTGGGTTTTTTTAAATTTGCATAGAGAACTGTCCTTAAATGTATTTATTTTCCATTTCCAAAACTACTTTAAAATGACTTAAAATTCTTTGGAAAGAAAAAAATTGGAGAATACTTTTCAAATGCCTCCTTTATTAATCGTCTTGCATGTGAAACCACTTCTCGTGCAGTTTGTTTATGGAAAAGGATTTTCCTGTTCACTAGTGAACCGCGTGCTGAGGCTGTGAAACGTGCAGCGTAGAGAAGTTACCCCAGGAGCCCCGAGGGCTGACCAGAGCTGGCAGAGGGGATGCCCAGGAGAGTGCCATGCCGGGCATACTTTCCTGTAATTGTCACCAGCGAAGGCCTCCGTGTGACAAAATCGTGGCATTTACTGCAGTGGAAAGTGCTGGGGAGGGAGAAAGAAGCTTTTTTTTTTTTTTTTTCATTCACTTTTCCCGCTATCTCTATAGCATTATAGCATAAATAAATCCAAAACAGAACACTTGTAAGAGGTGAGAGGGACAGCACTCCCTTCTGGGGCTGGCATGAGAGCAGTGACTGAGGCAGGGCACGCAGAGCTGGACAGGAAGGAGGAGCCCGATCCAGGGCAGGGCGATCTAGGCCTGATAAAACCTCAGCACCTTCTCACAGCCTTTTACCCCTCAGAAATTTCTCCTGTCTAAAGAAATGACACCTCCCCGTTCTTACATAAATGCTGCTGCTGTACCTTGTACTTTTAAGCTTTCTTTGACTACTGCTGACCTTCTCAGCCACCCTCTCATGGACGCTCCACCCAGCACCCGTTCTGCTGCTGCAGCAAAATTGGGATTTGCTGTCCAGAGTGTCCTTCTGGTTGCAAAACCCCGTGTTCTCATGGTGAAGTAGCCTTGACTCATTCCTGCTTCTTCCTGTGTTTTTTCAAAAGTGCTCCCTGTTGCGTGTCACGGAGTATTTCCTGGGTTTGCAGTTCATTCCAGCTGTTGTTATCCTTTCACCTTACAGGATAATATCATCTGGCTGTGGTTTCGTTCATCACCTAATGGTCTATTTATGCACTGTATAAACATTCCCACTTTAAAGGGAAGCCAGTAAAGGAGAAAGGCAGGGTGGCAATAGAAAACAGCCATGATGAAACAACGAGACCAAATCCTGCATCTGTTTCTCTACCTCCACATTAAAAAAATAGACTAAAAGGATGTAGCTCTCTGAAAGGCAGCTGAGTTCTCTCTCTCCCTTCTTGTTACAACTGCTGTTATAAACAGCACCAGGAAACAGTTTGGGAGCTGTAAACTGTTTTCTTGGTATTGCTGACATTTTCTGTGAAATCCTGACCTTAAGCTACATGTCCTAGCACTAAAAGACAGCAAGTTCTTCTGATTAGCAGGAAGGAGCTAACAAGGACAAGAAGCACAAGTAACTAGGAAAAAAAATAATGCAAAGGAACCAAAAAAGAGAAGGTAAGAAAGCAGAAGGAAAATGATCTCTTTGTCCAATGCTGTTTAACCATTACTAGCATTTGCAACAAGAAATGCTTTCTGGTAAAGGCTGCACAGGGGAACTTTTATTACCTTATTGCAGTCGTATACCTTCTGCTCTGCATTCAGAATTGCTCTCTTTTAATTGAGATATTACACTGTCTCTGCAAGGTGAAGCTTTGAGGTCAAACACTCATCTTGCTGCTCTCCGTGGCAATCGTGGGGATTTTTGCTACACGTCATCAATCACTTGTTAAAAGAGCTCTCCTTGAGTCTTACGTGCTTGCCAAAGAGTCACAGTGTTAGAATGATAAGATAATACGACAAGCTGAAAAATGATCTAGCTATGTATTAGTGTGCATACATCTATATAAAACATTAGTGGAAAACATTTTCTCCCTTTGGCTTTAATTTACAATAAAGAAGTAACATGATCCAGGATTCATAAAGTGTTTTGGTGAGAATGCTAAGTGTTCAGGGTAGCAGCCTGAGTTTATTTGGGCGCTACCTTTTTCCCTATAGCTGCTTGGCCGGTGCCAGCAGAGCCTGCGCTCCAGCGCTGCTTAGTCAGGCACAGGGACGCGGCAGCTCCCCAGCTGCCTGTGTTGCAGGAAGGATCAATACCCCAGCGTGAGCTCATCCTGGCTCACGCCTCACCTCATCACCCCGTAAGAGGCCTATGCCTTGTGTGCATTAGTGAATGCTCTGGAAAGGCTCCTGCGGGGAACTGGCTTTACCGCGCCGTTTCAGCTGGGACAGTCCTTGCTGTTCCTGGACACTGTGTCAGCTGCCAGGCCAGGCATGAGCTCACCCTAGAGAGGGCTCTTCACCAAGCCCTGCTCAGAATCACAAACCCTGCACTCTGGACATGCTAGCTCAACTCTGGGATATAAATATGCCATGAGTTCACTGCAGCATAATTACACCTTCATCCAGAGCATCTAAAGGGATAGCAACATTTTCACCCTTTTCAGTAGTGATTATTGCTGCAATGTCTGTCTGGCTTCCAAACCATTTCCACACTAGTGGCTTCCCAAGTACATCTCTCTTGCACTGATTAGTTAGCAATTTATATGCAATTATAATATTGCTTACTCCTACTATTACTCCTACTATTACTCCTACACTATTACACATGCTCAGGGAAGGGTCTTCATCTGGGCAAGGGCCTTTTTGACCTATCCGTGTGACTTTTAGTATTTTAATGAAGACAGGTCACTTAAGGAGATGTGGACCTTGGGTTTTCCTGCCAAGTTCGCAATGTGGACAAAACATCTTGATTTTAATGAGCAGTTCCATGTTGTCCTTGGTTAAAGAATACTCACTGTCTGTTCTCCTGATAAGCTTCCTCCCATCCTACCAGGATACAGGGGACATCTGTTCAGCTTAGTTTAAGTCATCCTTCAACAATACTATTGTCCTCATTTGTAAAAATACTCTTGGACTCATCAAATTTCCAGAAGCAGTAAAAACTGAGCCTTTAGTAAGATGAGACTCATTGCTGGGGTGTGGAAGGTTTCCTTTATTGTTGGTCATATACATGAACTGGACCATTTTCTTTAGCATTCAGATATTTACTTTAGGAATGAACTTTAAGAATTAGAAGGTTTGTTTGAAAAGATTTAAGTGCCTTAAAGTGCATGCAGCCAGCTTGCCTCCTGATAAATTTCCTGATAGAAAGGGAAAAGGGACAATAAAACCACATGATGGGACACAGCAGCACACTCACTAGTAGTGAGCAGCTGATTCTGCCTGGAAATGCAGTCATTCTCATTAACTCTCTCCTGTTAAATCCTCAGCAGTCATGAGAGGAATGCTAGTCTTAGTAGCACTGGTGCTCAGGTCGTCATATTCCCCCCAGCTACAGCTTGCCCAGCTTTCAGCCTGTTGCTTTCTATGTCTTCATTTGGCTGCTGAGCTCTCAATTTTTATTATACAGAGCAAAACCACGGCCTTTATGACAGTGCAACATTGTTGTTTAATGGCACTTGAGTTACACTGATGCTGGATTCACAGCCCAGCTGAAAATGAACCAGTCACTGCTTGCATAAATGAAGACTGCAGAGCTGAACATTTTATATCATTTAATACTATACTACATATGTCCTTTTCTCCTTCAAAAATCTATATTAGTCACTGAATACTGCCTTTTTCAGAGCATTAGAAAACGAAGGGATTGCTTTCTATACTCTTTAAAACAGTATACAGCAAGTTTGATATATCCTGTCTTACTTTCCACAGTATCCAGATTCACAATGCCAAATTTCTTGGAAATGTTTCTACCCTCGTTCTTGGGTTCCTGGGCTCAAGCACATTTAGAGGATGGGTCCTCTGGACAGTTCAGCTGACCTTTATATTTGGAAACACTTCTCTTAAAAGCAAAAAAATGAAAACAAAATAAATCTCTTGTAAATCAGAATGTGTCATGAACAATCCCATTGTCTAAATGAGAATGTGTTAATGTTTCTAAAATTGCCTAACACTAGAATTCTAATGTCTTTAAGATAATAATCGATTCTCTTTTCTGCATGTACTTAATATCATCATTCCCTTTAGGCTGGGACTGTGCTCATCAAATGCTTCATCAGTCCTGCTCGGTGACTCGTTTCTTCATGTTTCCCTGTTGTGATGGTAAAAGAGCATTGCTCCAGGAAAACCCTGAGCTGGAGAAGTTACAGAGACACTGCAGCAAAGTCAGCTATCAGCAAAGTTACTTTCTGGCCTCAGGGAGTTCTTTTGAGCTTCTATCTCAGTCGCCCTGGGAAGGTGTAAAAAATGGAGCAAACTAGTGAAATTAGGCAGATTATCATAGAAATAAGATTCAGTAGATTTTTTAAACAGAAAATACATTAAGAGGTAAATCTGGAGAACAAAGAGTCAGAAAAGAAAATGAATAAAAAATTAAGCAGCAAACTAGCCCTGAAGATGAACCTATAGATGACAGCCTCAGTTGCATGCAGATAGGAAAAGGAAATGAGGCTGGTTTTCAGTGCTCTGAAAATAAGGTGTACGATACAACGTAGAGAACTGGACAGGCTAAACGAGTAGGAGTTTGTTCATTGCAATGATCTGTAAAAATGAGAACTTTTAAAATTCTAAGATAATTAGCCAGGCCAACTTGATTGACAGGGTAAACTCACACTAGCGAATTAAACATTCCTAGAGAAGTATCGAGGACAGAAACTTTTCCTGGTTCTGTTGAGTTTGCCATTATTAGCACTGCTGTAGCATCCCAGTGTCTCTACTTTTAGAATACACAGAACAACTTTCTTCCATGAGAGAGAGGATCAAATTCATTTTTTCCTGGAGCAATGATTTTTACTTAGAAACTGAGACAATCTGTTTTCCAATATTGCCTCCATTCATCATGGACTGGAAAGCAGCTTCAAGAGAAATAAAGAAATAAATTAGTGTCAAGTAAGTACGCCAAGTAACTTCCTTTTTAAAAAATATTGTAGGAGCAAAAATATTAAATGGTTCCTGATAAAGGAGATACCATGTTTTTGACTTAAACATATTTATCTTTCATGACATGCTAAAAACATTAGCCAGTAAGAAACTGTTACGGGCAGTTTTATATAATAATTTAAAAAACTGATTTGTAAGCATCAATTTAGCCCTATACAGGTAATGATTACATTTGCTGCTACTGTGATATACTATACAAACATGAAACACAAAGGCAAGGCGTGACTTGAGACCTCCAAAAGGCTGTGGATTCTCCAAGTCTTTGTGAAAGCAAAAGGTTTCTATAAATATTCTCTTTTGTGCAATAAATATGGAAAGGTGAGCAAAAGAATAAATCTCTCAATAAACAAAGTATGAAATATAACTGCTATATTTGATCAAATTTCTTCAACATGCATACGTATACCAGTAGGTAGCAACAACTTTCCAGACATAAACCCATAGCTATTGTTTTAGCTATTGTTTTAAATTTCTTTCTTTTTTTTTTCTGTAATCCTAAGATACTAAAGACTAAGTGGGCTAAATCATACCCTTGCCTGTATGTGAAAGGGAGCCATTCTCCAGCACATCACAAAGCATTTCAAAGCCTAGTGAAATACGATCACCTACTACTTATTTTATTACAATATTGAAAGCATGTTTTAGGTAAAAGAGGAAGTTGGTCTCTTCTGTCTGATGCAAGATTTAATCAAATCATTCTTAGAAAATGATAAAAATATTAGGAAATGGTATGAAATCTTACCACCAATGTTCTCCAAGCCTTCTACCACAGTCTCTCTGACCTGTCAATACAAGCAAGTCCTGTTAGTTTTCTTCAAACAAGACTAACATTTCTCAAAAAGGCTTCTCCTTGCCACAGAAATTACTGAAATCTAAAAAGTTCTCTTGCCTTAGCAGACAGTGATTTGTTGGGCCAGTTCTTTCATCAAAAGGGATTTTTTTTTCTTATAAACCTATAGGCAATTTAATCCTTCCGTCATAACTGAAATATCGTAACTACCAAATTTCTTATCTTGGAATGCAAATGAGAAGGTGAAGCCTCAGGAGAACTAACCAATCGCCCGAAGAACCGTAAACATTCCTTACAGGGTAAGGATGGATATAAAGCTTCTACCCAAAGTATTAAATGGTGATTAAAAAGCTTGAAGCAAAATTTCACATAAGATCCCCAAAAGCATTCAGGATGTTCCCTAAACAGGTATTCCAAAGTCCCTTAAAGTCCCCGGTCCCTTAAATGAAAAGTGCTTGCACCCTGTGTTGAAAGAAAGAATTCAGATATCAGCAAGATGTAGTTTAAAAAGCCTGTCATAGTATAGTCTCAGCAGGTCTACCATCCTCAGCAGGTATTTTCTGAAACAGCCCCATCGTAGCAAGCTTTCATGTACACCTTGACATTCTTAAGCAACTCTGTTCAATTCAGAGGCATGGGAAGAAAGACAGGGACACAGAAATTGGAGTTCCTGTAGCCAGGCCGGCATCTGAGCAGGTAAAATCAAAGACCATAGATTAAATGTAAAAGTTCCTACCTTCAGTTTACCTTCTCTGATCCACTGACAGAGCTGTAAAACAGAAGCTTCTTGTTTGTCCATATAGTTCAAGACCAAAAACCTTTCCCTGTGAAAGAAAAGAATGAGCACTGCTTTAAGAAAGGTTGGTAAAGCATTTTGAAAAGAAAACTTTTCATGAAGAACATGCATTCCTGGAACTGAAGGATTCTTAGTACTAATTACAATGAGACACAGTGCGGAGTTTTGCAACCTTGTTGAGACAGCTCAGTGCAGCAGGAGTTTGATATTAAATAACACGGATTTTCAGTAAAGGACTTCTGCCTGTTTCAAGAGAAGAGAGTAATAAAAATCTGTTCTGCCAGAGGAATAAGCAAAGTGCCAGGGGCATGAAAAAGAATTTTGATTAGAGGAGGTCAATCTTGTGCAGAAGACCAGAAGTGTCCCCAGCTTCCTGAAATACCCTGAATGGCAAATCCCCTAAGATTTGGTTTCTAATCACTGCCTTAACTTTACCTGATGGGAGATTCAGCAACTCCCAGAGCCATGACAAAATCTTTTACCCGTATATGTTTGTCAATTCCCATTATCTAACAAAAACTAAATACTACAAAAGGAATAATGTAAAGAATCTGTCTGGAACCTAGATTGCAGGAGAAAAAGTACCTTGTGATATTCTTTTCCTTCTGTATTTTTTCCACCTCAGGAGGCAGTGGTGGAGGATAAGGCACATCTTTGTTATACTGAGAGATCTGTCCACACAGGATTATATGGCTGTTCTGATTCATCTGTTTGAGACAGCATAAGTGAGAAAAATAACTTTCCTTGGTTTCAGGAATCACATTATTCAGAGATGTGTTAGAATATATTGCAGAACTTCCACACAGGTATCTTTATTCAAAGCCACTTTTCCCAGAAAAGTAGGAAAAGAGTATGAGAATTGTGTGCAATCCCAATTAACCTATAAGAAAAGTAAACAGTTACATGCAGGGCACTAGTGGAGAATAAATGCTATGCAGCATATGTATCATTTATTAAGACATTAAAAGGAGGTTCTTAATACCATAAGGAAATGTTATTATACTGGATGCCTTTTTTTTCAGAAGATTGGAAGAGGACAAAGCAAATTGGATACAGCTCTGTGGATGTAATTGTCAGTGCACTACAGGGCAGAAACGAATGGTCACAGTTCGGAGCTCCCACTGATGGCAATGCCACCAAAGCCACCCTGTGACAAGACAGACACTGCAGTTTCATATTAACAGTGAAGGGGGCTGGTTAAAAGCCTTTATGGAGGGCTAGCAAGGCCGCTCTTTTCTGAAGCCAGGAAAACAAAACTGACAAACTACAAGATTACAGGAAAGATTTTTACAGTATTATCAGGTCTGCTGGCCAAAGAAGCAAGAGATTAGAACCAGAAACTGTGTTTCTGTTTACAGACAGACAGACTAGTCTAGTTGACAGACACTAATTTCAAATATTTGGACTAGTTTTTCTTAGGACTTGGATCAGCACCAAGATCAGATCCATGGAAATGGAAAATCAAATCTGCCATAGTGCAGGCTGGTCTCAGTATGAGTCAACTCCAAGCCGGGCAAGAACACTTGGGAGAATGATGAGAATAAATCTTGCAGCTGGTATAATTACCTGATTTATAACTGCATCGCTGATGTCTCCCCCAACATTGTCAAAATAAACATCCACACCACCTGGACAGAGTTCACGTAGCTGCTCTGCCACGTTCCCCTTCTTGTAATTGATAGCAGCATCAAAGCCCATTTCTGAGACCAAAATGGAGCACTTCTCATCTGTGCCAGCAATCCCCACGACTCTACTGCAGCCCTCCAGGTGGCCAATCTACAGAAGCAGAGATAAAAAATAAAGAAATAAAATAAAATAAGAGAATTTAGATCATTCATCTGCCCAGGCACAAAAGTGCCAGAAGGATAAAAGGCAATATTAAAGGGTCCTAGTAATACTCCCCATTCTACTAACTAAACCCCCCACAATTAAGTTCACTGCATGCTTCCACCTCATGTGACAAAGTTTCCATTAAATGTCATTTTGTTATTCCCTCCCTCCACACATGGAAAAGGCAGATAACTTCAGGTCTGCTCTCTTTCCAAACTCACTGACTGCAGGAATCTTAGTCTGTAGAATTACCAATGATTAGCAATCTCTGAGGTTTTACGTGACATAAAGTCACCATTTGCCAAGTACCATAACATAGTCAATAGAGCTGAAAAGACTGGACAATAATTGATTTAAATACATTCTTCATAGATTTGCTTGCACAATGTTGCTTCCTAATTCATCTTAAGATCTTAAACTTCCTCACTACTTGTTCTGTTATACATATATATAATGTACATACATATCAAACACACACAAACTTACCTGTACCTTTTTCTGCAAAGCTGAGGAGGATAAACAAAAATACAATTTACTAAAACACGCTAGTTCTCAAAATACAAAGAATGTAGTAGAAACCAACACAAAGAAGGGCTTACTACAGTTTCCACTGCATTCTAACACAGAAAAAAAAGAAGTTGCCATTCAATTCAAAGATTACAGCAAACAGCAGACTAATTAATAGCTATACAGTCGATACATGTATTTACACCATCTACTTATGCTAGTGACAAGCAGTCACCATCTTAGACAGTTTTGCTCCCATGCAGTTGCAGGAAACCGAAGTTTCACACTTAAAAACTCTCTCAATGAGTGTGTGAGTCAAATCTGTTAATGAGGCCCCTCCCATAAAGTTATATCTGCTTATGTTTATAATGCTTTTATCTGTTTGTCTACTATCAGTATGTTTCACAGGACAAACTTTGTAAGGGCGCCCTTTGTAGGTCGCAAGCCTGCTTACCTGGCCAGCCAAAGAACCACAAGCTCCAGCAGCGCCGCTCACCACCATGGTCTGGTTTGCGCCAGCGCTCACGTGTCCCTTCTCTTTGATACCTAGCAAGGCAGTCAGGCCTGTAAGCCCAGCAGCGCCGAGAAAGAAGGAAAGGCGCCCGTCTACGAGCTGTGGAACAAGCTGCAAGGCAGAAATGTGTGGTGCTGTTCACTTCTTTTAAACTTGGAGTTTTGCTACTTATTATTTGGTTAGCTGGCAAGATATGGCTCTGACTCAGGGTATTTACAAGATGAAGCGCAAGCTAGCAAGGATAAACTAGCTTTAAAATAGCTTTACCTTAAGAACAAGTTCATACAAAATGAAACAAATATGTAATTTATTTTTCTAAACATTTTTAAACAATATCACTCTCAAGAACTAACATTATGAACACATCAAAAAACAGTTGAGAGAGAATTCATTTCCAACAGAGCTGAACTACTCCTATGCTAGTTTAAGGGGTAAAATAGCACCACTACCAAACATTGAGAGTTTATACAGAGAGTCCTAAAGCAAACTTCTTGAGAACCATACGTCCTCAAGCTCCAGTAATTTTCTGTGTTGCATGAGGATGATAAAAACAATGTACCTAATGTACTGTTGCGTCTCTCCAGAAATGCTTGATGCCGATTACTCTTTCTTTTATGACTGGAAAATGTCAAGTAGAAACTTTCACTGACATGTCCTTTCTGAATTAAATATATCTAAAGCAGTTTATGTCTTAGGACTACACTCCCATGGATTGGGACTTCTATCTAGAATTGAGATAATAGATTAACAGATACTAACAGAAGCAGCTTGAGGGAAATTTATCAACAATTTTACAAGTGAAGTAACACTGACACCTCTGGTGACCAGCAAAAGCATGCCCATTTCTCTTTGTTAAAAATAAACAGGGAGAAATTGATACATATTTTGCCACATGTGAGTTGACCCACCTTTCGAGAACTGTTTGCTTCAATAAAACACAGAGTTAGAACAATCTGGAGCTTGGGGGTTTACATACGCATTACCTTTTGCAGTGAGCTTCCATCTAGAATGGCCACTGTCTGCCAAGGCCATTTGAAGGAAGTTACAAAATCTCCTTTGGCAAAGTTGTTGTGCTTGCTCTCCTCCACAACGCCAATGCCCCCACCATCAGCAGCTTCAGACAGCTGCCAGGGCAGCAGGTAATCTGAGCCTGTATCTTCATTCATTCGGCAGCGCTGAAAGATAAGGCTTTAGGGAGAAGCTCTTCTGGAACACAAGGTTTGTTTTTAAGTTTAAGTAAAGCTTGAGATGAGATCAGTTTAAAACATCAAACACAGAGGGCTACACAAAAATCTGTCAGTGAGCGCCAAACATTCATTTTCTTTTCTTAGATCTCTTTTCCCCATTCACTCAGTACAAAGGGAGGATAATTTTAATCTCCTTCAGCAGAGCTACCAAAGCCAACACATCTAACAGATGCTGCCTCAAAATCTGACTTGTAACTGAAGAAAACTGGATTGGGTCTGAAGAGAATCCTATCAATGGCATTATTTAACTGGATGGATCATGGAAACATAGGATTGAAACCAACAGCTAGGAGTCATCTAGTCCTTCCACATGCAGTGAGGAAGAGTCAGAGAAGAAGATATTTAGATTATTCCTGACAGATGTGTGGCTAATTAAACATCTCAAAATCTTTTTTTTTTTTCAGATCTCCCCATGTAGTCTGAATTAGTATTTCAATATTCTTATACTTTTCATTAATGTCCAAGATAAATCTCCTTTCTTGTAATTAAGACTATTCCTTTTCTTCCATCTGCATCAATGTGCAGAACAAATGATCGTCATTTTCTTTATAGCAAACTTTTATATACTAGCAGACTGGTCTGACAGTTCTCTTTTACATACATATATATACGACATACACACATACATATATACATATGTGTGTATAAATGTGATACATTAATGCCAAATTCTTTTCTAATATTGTTTCATCAGAAGGAACAGATATACTGATTTATACCAGACAGACATTTGTCTCTACACCTGATAACGTTAATATTAAATATGGTGGCAAGTACAAAGGTAAAACCATTTATTTTTAAAGGGATTCTCCAGGCTTAACTCTTAAGCCCATCACCTACCATGTAGGGATCCACAGAGAGATAAAGGGTTCTAACACGGACTTGTCCCTCTTGGACTGTATCCGATATTGTACTTTGCTCTAGTCGGAAGTTTTCAGCGACTGGCACTCCATTTTTACCTGTAATTATTTTAAAATTAAACAAATAAATCAGAATAGATCTTCCTTAAAAATAAACAAAAGCCTTCTCCTTTTAATGAAGGATGGTCCTTTCTTTTTTTTAAGTAAACATTTTTTTTTAATCAGTATACATCTACTCAGTAACTTTCAAATTTTGTATTAGATAGTAAACTTAGACAGGAGTACCACCAAACTGAAGACCTACAACACAACCTAATCCACAGACTTTTCCAAAACGTTTAGCTAATTCCTGCACATTCAGCACCAGAGGCTCTTTGAGAGCTTCTTTATGCTTTAAACTTGATGCTGCCTGCTGCTGGGCAGGAGTTCTGGGCCACACAGGACCTCAGTGGGCACCAGGACTCCACATGCTCACTAAGGCCTGCCCAGGCCTTCCCTGGAGATGCCATGAGAGGCACTGGCCCAGCTGCCAGCGACCTTGCCTTTCGGCTCTGCTCTCCTCTCCTCAGCAGCAAGACAAGCCACAAACCAAAAGCACCTTGGCATCTGGTTGGTCAAACAAAAACTGCTGGGATTAGTGACCTATTAGCTAGAAATCTGAAGTGGACTAATGACATGGAAAATATCTCCTAAGGCTCATAATATATTATTAAATTGCTTACAAGTCATATTGCATATTCTGTAGCCACAGATGCATACTCAAATGCAGTTGTGTCTGAAACACATATCCTTGCCATAACTAGTGCTATTCAGATTTGCAAGAGACCTTTTGATCTAGTTTTAGTGCATTTTATTGATGAATGTATTTGAACATCTTGAACCTATCTTGATCCACTTAAATATAACCTGTTGCTTTTGTTGATCTATCAAAATTGGGGTTACTCAAACCAGTATAAAGCACATGCGCTTCTTGACAGTTTCCTGGCGAACCTACCATTCCAAAAACCAGGATTAACACATCCGTCACAGAACAAATATGTGAGCAAGGAAGTTAACAAAATTCTCAAAAGCATAAATTTTAAAAGCACTTTGAAACATGTGAGTAAAAACAGATTCAACACTTACTAAAAGGAAGCAAACAAAAAAAGCACAGCAAAATATTTTGTTTTGGGACTTCTCTCAAAAGTGAATACAAAAAGAAAAATAGAGAAATACAAAGAAGTGTTTGATATTTTTGGTTCACTTAGCGTCTCTAACCTTAGGGATACTACAAATGAATCTTCTTCTCACCTATGCGTTTAGAAGTCTGAACATGCAGACTGAATAGATACAATTCACAGTAAACTTTGTTCATTGCCGCACACACTAACTAAATATCTTAAACTAATTTCTGTCTTCAACCTTACTGTTTTGGATTATTACACAACCATAACAAGCACACTGCTCCTTTATCCCAGAAAAATACATACCCGGGCGCGAGTTCAGCACTACCCTTTGTATAATCATCCCTGTTCTTGCAGCAGTTTTACCCTGGGCCCCTAAAGAGAAAACATTATTTGAAGAATTAAGACACACAGTTTCTTGAGAAAGAGCACAGGCCAAAGTACTCAGTAATTTAGAAATGGAGGAGAGGACAGAACAGGGAATTGGGACATTTCAACACCACTTGCAAATCCAAAGGGAAAGATAATATTCAAGCTATCTCCTAAACAATGCTAACAGACAGTGGCAATACCAGCCTCCAAAAGGTGAGTGGTGCCTGGTGCCACGGGCTGCTCCCCAGCTGTGCTGCTGGCAAGCATGGCAACAACAAGCTGCTTGCAAACACCAGCGTGACAGCAATAAGAAACATCTGACAAAAGTATGCAAACACAAATAGGTCATCCAAAATGAACTACAGCTGTTTTTAAGGCAAACTGCAGACCGTGTCCCCTTACATTGGTGATGCGAGCAAAATCCTGCCTTAATAATAAGCAGATATACTTCCAGAGACCCAGAATTTCACCTGTTCTTTGAGGTTTCTGTAAAAACCCATGTTTCACAGATAATTGTCTCTGCCACAAGGCACAGCAGATTTTGAATATTTTAGATCATTTGATATGTATTGATATCCTGTGAAAACCATTGCTCAGCTGAATCCATAGCCTGCCATCACTGACAATTAAAAAAAAAAATAGTGGGCCTCACCTACTTCAATACTAATCCCAGAAATCATATGAAACAACCTCAAATGAAAATAAACAAGCAAACACGTGAATAAAGCATTTCCCACTTACCTCGTTAAAGATGTTTCTTTATATAATGTCACAGTAGTGTCTTCTGGAAAGATTGACAAACAAAATTAATTCTGCAAATATCATGCCTGTGAATATATTTCTATCCATAATCCCATCAAGCTCTTTTTCAAGTACAGAGAAGGAAGTTTAATACTAACATATACTATTTTTAGTCTTTGAAGCTTTGCTTTACATTTAAATATTTCTTTACAATATCGACATCCCAAATTCAAGTAGAAATGTACTGATGCATGGAAACAAAAAAAAAAAAAGATTGATCTATGTTCAGCAGCAGAGCTTAATTAGGAAAAGAAGGAAAGAAGGGAAATAAAAGAGGAAAGGAAGATAGTGCTAGTTTAAAAACATAAGCTACAATTCACTTCATAAGTAACACATGTTACTGCACAATAAAATACAGAAGCTAATAAAGAGATAAATAAAAATCCATTAATATACCCACACAGTTGATAGAATCTCCAGAGTAAATACTTTCATGAGACACCCTTAGAGGAAGATAAACTTTGGCAAATATTAGGTTCTGCATCCTGTTCTCCTACAGATTTCCTGTGTGACCCCGGGCATGTCACTTTGTGCACTTTTTGTAAAATATTTTCCAAAACATAATTCCAGATTTCCAAGAGGCCAGGTCCACGCTCGCAAGGACCCCTTCTGACTTCATAAACGTCAACTTGCACATTTTAATCTTATATTCCATGTTGTTACATTTACACTACAGTTTAAATGGCTACATTTTGTATTGTAGAATAGCTGAATCCTCCTAAAATAGTTGGGCTGACAATACTGTAAAAATTGGATTCAAATGGTATGGTTGTCATCCACAGAGCAACTATTTTAGCAGCTGGAAAGCTATGCCAATTTATACATTGTCAGATGTACCTAGTGCAATTTTAAAGAATAACCATAGTGGGGTAACTAAGTTGCTCACACACAGGACTTGGGTTAAGTTCACAGCCATTAACGAAATTGCTTTGTGCAGAAAGAGGAGCTAAGGATGAAGTGAATATAAATCAATCTGATTGTTTACAATCAGCACATCATTCCTTTAGAGACTATTAATACTCAGTAATAATCATTGATGGTACTGTGTGTTTTGATCTGCTGTTTATAAACCCTACTGTTTTGGCAGGATTGCTGCACAGTTCATCCATCCATTACAGAAACTCCACTGTCAGAGTTGCGGAACTGACTCAAATTTGTGATATCCTCAAGTCGTTAAACAGACTATATTATGCAAACACACACAAAAGCGATTTGAACAAGGGCACAGACCATTAAAAACATTTTATTGTGCCTAACACATGCACAGAACCCTTGCAATATTTGTTTCCTATCACAGTAGAGAAATGGTTCAAAAAAAAAAAAAAGATATTAAAACAAATGAAAAGTAATAGAATGGCCTAGGAAAATGAGAGTTGTAAAAAAATGCATAGTGTAATGTTAAGACTACTTTCCTGAATGTCTGAAGTGCTGAAGAAAGAAAAATTCTGTTGATTTTCCAGGTCACGTTAATGGCTTGTGGTTGAGAGGCTGGTATACTAATACAGCCTGAAGATCTTCCAGATATTGTGGGTGGGTGGACAGAAAGAAGGCAGACTGGTGACTAAAGTCACTCATTCTATGACAGCTATCACAGTAAAATACAATGCTGGAGATGGACTTTTACTTCTAAATATAACTGCCATTGCTCTGCAGTAAAAGTCAGTATGACATTGCACAAGCAAATGTACACACAAATGTCATAATATAAAATGAAACAACCCAACTTTCTTCATGTGAAAAACAATAAGTAAGGAAAATATTTGACTTTCTATCCTTTAGTACTGTTTACAGAGGAAAGCTTTTGAAGCGAAGAGATTTTTCAAAGTGAAATAAATTGGATATATATCATACACATGATCCTTTTAATACATGTTTAATGCCAGTGTGAAGGACACTTTTGAAAGTTATTTTAGAGACCAGCAGCAAGCAGCATACAGTACCATTTACGTTTTTCTAACCAAAAACAGCTTGCCTTGATTTTTTTCTTAAAATTAAATGGAGTAGATAGTGTAATTGCAAGTTTAAAAAACAGCATGCTATGCCAGTACCCTCTGACTCACCCTACAAGTGCAGGAGCAATAGGCAGCCCAACTGCAGTATCTCCAGCTGAGCCTCAGGTATGTTTTATAGCCCAGGTTTATTCTTTTCCCCCTTTCTCCTTCTTTTCTCATTTTTGCAAACAGACACATAACAGCTCCTTTTAAAAGATTTACATAAACTCCTTAGTACTAAAGTCTCCTAAACAATGGTAACAGACAGTGGCAATACCAGCTGCTGTTTATTTGTCCTGGAGTTGGTTCCTAAAACTACCTGACATTGCCTGTAAGGCCCTTTTTTTCAGTTGCTTATACTTTTGCCAAAATGATTCAACTGCTTCCAAGCTGTTACAGGCCATGCCAGGTCCAATCTAGCGAAGAAAGGAAGAGCAGGCAGAAAGGAAGAGCAGGCCAGGTAGCGTGGGCGGTGACAGTGGTCAATTCAAACTGAGCAGAAAAATAAGACTGAAGTCTTCTGAAACTGTGTTGTCAAAAAGACTGGACTTGCAGATTCTCAGAGGAAACAAAAAGAAATCAAGGAAGAATGATTCTGAAGCAGAAAGGAAAGAGGAGAAGGATTGGCACTAAGAAAGAGAAATTTGGCAAAAATACCAACTTAATGGCCAGCAGAGCAGAGAGGAAAGAAATAATGGAGAGAATAATGGAGAATGAGAATGATGGATGAGATGGGACCAAGGAAAGAGACGGGAATAACTGATCAAGAACATAGGATTGGACAAAATAATGGTAACTATCTGGCAGAACTTGACTAGTTGCATAAGTCTTCCTTACCTAGGGACTTAGAGGTGTGTTAATGAAGGGGCAAATTCAAACCTTCAAAAAATTAGGAAAAGCCAGAGTTAATATTGTCTGTGTCAATGAGGAAGAAAAATGCATGGCATAAGAAAAAGAAGTACTTTCATGAACTGAACTATGCAGTTTTCCTAAGATCTCACATTTCATCACTGAATTTTATGGGGCAACTGAAGTTCCTCCCACAGCATTTTCTCCAATGTGGATTCTCTGGCAGGGTCTAGATCAAAATTTCTAGCAGTGACAGGCGTTTGTATCTACATGTGATAGGACTGTATGAACTTTGCATTTTAGATCTAGTGCCAAACATCAAAAGCTCTCAGGTGCAATCTCTTTAAAAATGTATTTTTAATTGTATTGTATTGAAATTGCTTAAAACTTGTTTAAAAATACCAACTCACAAGACCGACTTCACGTGAGCAGAATTTCAAGCCAGGAATGCACGCAGGAACGCAGATTGCTCCCAGGGTGCAAAAGAACCTCCCCTATTGTTTTTTTTTTTTTTTTTTTTCCCCCGAGAGGAAGTCAGTGATACAGCCCGCTGCCTCCCAGCTGAGGGCAACCCCGGTGCGCGGCGCTATGCAACTTCCCAGGGGCGACCAAAGGTCAGGCCAGGAATTGCCACTGTCAGAGGTCACTGGGCACCTGCAGATGATTCAAAATCAAGAGTTTCCGAAAGTGAAGATGGAACAAAGCAGAGA